TTTTATGATTACAGCCACTAGAGGGGCCTATTGAATCCTATGGAGATTCTTAAATGAGCCAAACAAGTGAAATCTTTAAACCTACACCAACTATATATCTCAAGGCTTTCAGATATATATTAAAACATTTAAAAAGCTATATTTTGTACACATGCATGCAAATATAACAGATACATTTAAAAATATAAATATGATATAAACTCATTGGTCTCCACCCCATCACTCAAATTTGACTGTGTTAAGTAAAAAAAAAATTCAAAATGACAGTCATTTCCCAGCAGAAACATCATACATGCTATAATGTGTTTCAATGGGAGTGTGTGTGCCGTGTGTGTGTGCGTTTTTTGTGCATTGGGGAAATTCTGCAGTCTCAGCCCTTTGTTTGGGTATGCATCTTTTCTGGATTGTGTCAGATTTTATATAGTAAAACAAATGCTGTTTTTTCCGGACATTCCATTCATTCCTATGGTCGGGTCAAAATGACCCACGAGGGACACTTTTGTTACTTTTTTTATTGCACTTTATTTTATTACACATAGAATCCTCGAATCGACTCAGATTTTTTTTGTGTGTGCTCCATGCTCAAGTGTGACAAAATTACATTTAAAAAATCTGTTTTTATAGCACCCACTTAAACTGCTCGAATTCACTCTAATTTTTTTTTTCTGTATTCCCGGTTCAAGTGTGACAAAAGTCTCATAACATAACGATCAACGCTCGATTTTTAAAAAATCTGGGTTTTGGGTCAAAATGACCCGAGGGACGGATGAGGGTTTTAACAACACTTTATTAAATGTCTTCAATGTGGCATTGACTGAAAAGGACACCAATTTTACTGTAAACTACTTAACAGAGTGCTTAACATTTTCATCATACATTTTATGCATTTTTGTTGTGCAGTATCAGTTTTGCCTGTTGTTTTGTTCAGGCATCTTAAGTGGAACATGTATAATTGCATTATTCCTGTTCATAGAAAAACACTTCTGGTGTTCATGCTGGTAAATTGTACTGCTTAAAGGAACTTTGATTATCAAACAAAGAGCTTGGAGATTTATTGGATATTTAATAAATGTTATTTTTGTAAATATATAAAGTAGCCAACATATAATACAATGATTTTTGAAGATTAATTCTTAAAAACAAAATGAAATTACTTGAGAAGGAAAATGGCATCAGATATGAAGACTTGATTTCAAAGAATATATCTTTGTTATAACTTATCTATATAGGTTACTTTGCTTATTAGCATAAATCAAAACAAATATAATCCGTGTATTTAGGGGTTTAGTGAGGTTTATAATTAAAGCAAAACATTGTTTGCCAATTTAACAAGCCTTAATATAATTACATTTACAGTGAAACAGAATCTGCAGAATGTTTTCTTTTTTTCCATTCAATATTTATGACGTTATCCGATTTCTTGCGACTCTTCTGACTGTCCGACTCTTCCCCTTGTAATTCCACACTTTTCTCATCTTCTAACAAAGTATTTAGCATTTAGCAACATAACAGCCTGATGCAAAAGCTTGTGCTTTTTTTTTTCTTTTTTTTCAAAGATAAACAGCAAACTTTTTCTTTACATTTTTACTTTGTCGATTGCAGAACAGTGTAAATTTCCTATGAAAAGCAAAAACATATTGAACTTAAGTGGTGCCAAAATTCGTTAGAACCTCTTCAAAAGCATGTTTCTAAACAGATATGACAAAGTCAAACATGTGTGTGTGTGTGTGTGTGTGTGTCAGTTTGGAGAGGCAGCGATGGGGTGATACTGCAAACAATAGCTGGAGGAATGCTGCATTGTTTACTCGTAGAAGCCACTTAAAGGCTGCAGTTATCTGCTGATCTGGCCCCAGTCTCTGATACGTCATTTTCTCTTCATTCCCAAGACCCAGCGCAAGCCTTGAGCGCCACTTTTCTTGTTTACTGCATTACCTTTCACATATCCCACTGTCTTCTTACACTGCTCCATTATTCCTTTGCTCCTGCTCAGAATCACTCCGCCTGTATTCCTCTCAATAATGTGCTAGATATTTGAAAGGTCTTAAATTATTTAACCAGTCCAAATGTTTAGGGATGCAGCCTTCAGGGTAAGAACATTTCTGTCAATACTGGCTTTGTCCTTGAGAGCTGAGAGCATGAACTTAGGCTGAATGTTTGAATTGTAGTGAAGGCAGAAATGAATATCATGCTGACAGAAATGTTACATGATATTGAGCAGTCTTTGCATTGCTGAATGTCAAGGGGGGACAACGAAAGCGAGAACCATTCTGTTGCCTATGCACCATGGGTAAAGTGAGATGCTTTAATTCAACACGATCATGAATGAGACTTTTTCAATCAAAATGTATTTAATTGACAGGACTTAAAGGGATAGTTCACCTAAAAATTATTAACTGAATCATTTACTCATCCTTATGTCATTCCAAACCTGTATGAGTTCCTTTCTTCTGCTGAACACAAAATAAGTTATTTTGAAGAATGTGGGTAACCAAACAATTGCTGGTCCCTATTGATTTCCATAGTATTTCATAGTATTGAGGTCAATGGGGACCAGCAACTGTTTGGTTACCAACATTCTAAAGAACAAAATGAGAACCAGCAACCTTCTGACTTCCATAGAATGTTGGTAACCAAATAGTTGCTGGTCCCCATTGACTTCCGTAGTATTTCATTCTAAGGAGGTCAATGAGGACCAGTAGCTGTTTGGTTACTTACATTCTATGTAAGTAAATGGGGACCAGCAACTGTTGACTTCCATAGATTGTTGGTAACCAAACAGTTGCTGGTCCCCATTGATTTCCTTAGTATTTCATAGTATGGAGGTTAATGGGGACCAGTAACTGTTTGGTTACTCACATTCTATGGAAGTAAATGGGGACCAGAAACTGTTTACTTCCATAGATTGTTGGTAACCAAACAGTTGCTGGTCCCAATTGTCTTCAATAGTATTTCATAGTATAGTATTCTATAGTATTCTATACTGTTTTGTGCGGATCACTCCGCTGTGGTGACCCCTGATAAAAAGGTAACCAGCCGAAGGAAGAGAGAGAGAGAGTATTCTATACTGTTTGGTTAACAACATTCTTCAAAATATCTTCTTTTGTGTTCAGCAGAAGAAAGAAACGCATACATGTTTGGAACAACTTGAGGGGTGAGTGAATGATGGCACGTTTTATTTTTGGGTGAACTATCTCTTTAAATTACATCCACTTATGGATCCTCAAGTGGGCTTTATAATGTTGGTTAATTGATTCTAGATGTTGACATTATGTAACACTTTTCGGTAAGTGTTGTTAACTCTACAAGTCCCATAACCTCAGGCAGTAATGTTCCTCACTCTACCTCACCGATACTTCAAGACTAACATGGAGGATTCAGATATGCCATCTTATAAACCTTTAGCACTTGAATCTCTCCCACTTGGGCCACAATCATCCAATAGGCGGATAGTACAGGGGCTTTAATTTGAAGTTTACCGTGGTGAGGAGTCGTAAAACGGCACTTTTCCTCGACGGATCGGCCATTTTGTAACCTCCTTGCGAGTGCCGGTGATCAGTGGTGTAATTTACTTGGAGCCTGATATTAGTCACACTCAACTGGTGCTTTTCCCACAGTCTGTGAGAGCACACCAGAGAATATGGGCTAGTGTCAAACACAGACGGGGCCGCAAGCCAAGGATAGCCTCTACTTGTAGATTAGATATTCTCTGGGATGTTGCTCTGCTCACACGTTCTGCTTGAGGATATTATTATGGTGTTATGTACCACTGTGGAATATTGGATTTATGAGTATCTATGTGTTTTATTTTGACCAGCACATTCCCTTAAGGCAACACACCACAGGCAAAGCCAATGTTTTTTTTTCATGCACTGGTCAATTTTGAGATTTTA